GTTAGACGGTGATTTGACTTATGATGTGGAGCCAGTGGCTATTCTGGAGCGGCAAGTTCGAAAGCTGAGGTCAAAGGATATAACTTCAGTGAAAGTGCAGTAGAGAGGCCGGCCCATAGAGGAGGGTACATGGGAGATCGAGCAAGAGATGCAGAGCAGATATCCACACCTGTTTGAGTCTTTACGTATATTTTTTGACTCGTTCGAGGATGAACGTTTGTTTAAGAGGGGGAGGATGTAATGATCCGGTGGGTCGTTTGAGGAATGAGACACTTAGTCTCTTTTGAGTAAGCTTAAGTTGGAAAAGTCAACCGGATGTTGACTTATGTGTAGAAGGTCTCGAATGTGAATTCTGTTGGTTCGAATAGCTTCGTTAGGTAATTTGGGACTTAGGAGCATGATCGTAATGTATTTTGGGGGTCCGTGGTAGATTTAGGCTTGAATTGGTGAAATTGGAAATTTGGCATTTTCCGGTCGGTAGTGGGAATCTTGATATAGAAGCCAAAATAGAATTCTGGAAATTGGAGTAGGTTCGTACTATCATTTGTTACGTGTGTGCACAATTTCAGGTCATTCAGAGTTGATTTGGTAGGTTTCGGCATCATTTGTGGAATTTGAAAGTTTCTAAGTTCTTAGGCTTGAATCTGAGGTCGATTTGGTGTTTTGGTGTTGTTTTGAGTGATTCGAAGGCACAACTAGGTTTGAATGATGTTATGGGATGTGTTTTCATGTTTGGTTGAGGTCCCGAGGGCCTCGGGTGAGTTTGGGTGGTTAACAGACCAATGCTTGGTTTGAGAGTTGCAGATTTTGCTGGTTTTCTATTGTAGAAGGTTTGTTCATCGTGTTGGCAGAAGGTGTCTCGCATTCGCGAAGGAGAGCACGCGAATGCAAATGGTAGTGCAGTATGTGCATCGCGAACACGTGAGTGGAGTCGCATTCGCGAAGAGGGAGAGGCAGTTGGGGAACCCAGGTCTTTGGTCTACGCATTTGCGAGTGAGGACTGCATTCGCGAAAGATTGAGCTGGTTAAGCATCGCTATCGTGAAGCAGTTGTTGCATTTGCGAAGGGTAAAAAGGAGAGGCCGTCTGTGTTGTCCTACACAAATGCGAGAGGACAGTCGCGTTCGTGAAGAGGAAGCATCTGGGCAAAATGTTTAAGTTTAAAATCGAGGGTTTTAGTCCATAACCTCAATATTCATTAGAGAGCTCGGGAGAAGGCGATTTTGGAGGGTATTTTCAGAGGTTTGATTGGGGTAAGTGTTGTTCACTCAAATTTGGTTGAATTTCATGATTAAGTCTTTATTTTTATCATTTAATTTGGTAATTTGGGGTGGAAATTGGGAAAAATGGAAGAAAATTTGGAAAGTTGATTTTTAGCATTTGGGTGGCCATTCGGAGACGTGGGCTCGTGGGTCGGGTTTGGTNGGGTCGGGTTTGGCCAATTTCAGAATTTTTGAGTTAATTTGATAATTTTCGTCTGGGCTTCATTCCTTTAGCGTATATTGATGATAACTTACTGATTTTGGTTAGATTCGGGGCATTTGGAGGCCGAATCGAGAGGCAAGGGCGTCGTGGGCTAGAGTTTGGCTTGGCTTGAGGTAAGTAATGCTTCCAAACTTGGTTCTGAAGGTTCGAAACCCCGAACTATGTGTTCTATAATTACTATTGAGGTGACGCAATGCCAAGTGACGGGAGTGTGGGCGTGCACCGTGAGAATTGCGGCCTGGATCATTCCATGGAACCACTTAGTGACTCTTTCTTGCTGATATCTGTGTTGTAACCATGTGATTAAGTTAATGAGCTATAAATCATGCTAATTATCATGTTAAAGCTTCACGCCAATACTGTTGAGACTCGATAGGTCATTTTTTGCTGTCATATCATTAGCTTCATTGATATTCTGTACTCAGTCCTGTTCATGCATATTATATCATGCCTCAATCTCGATTATTGTTATTTGGCACATCATATCATTGTTCGAGCTAGTATCATGACATTTTGAGCCCGTGTGTGTGAGATTGGAGAGTGATGACTGAATGAGGTCGAGAGCCTGATATTAAGTGACAGTATGGGATCGGGCTGCTTGCCGCAGTGAGATATTGATTATGCCTTCGTTGGCTTGTTATAGAGCTTGGGCTGAAAGGATCCCCTGCGGAGTCTTTACACCCCCAATGAGTGCAGTTGATGATATTGAGGGATGGATCTTCCCTGGACATAGATCTTGTCCGAAGTATTTATTTATACCTAGAGATGGATCTTCTCCATAGGGCTGGAATGGCCTTCCTCGGTACTGGATGACTGCGGTCAATGACGTGTATATATTCCGGGATGAATCTTCCCTAGGCCGGATGGCCATATATAGTACCAAGTGGTTGAGCACCTGTGAGTGGAGGTACACGAAACATTGGTCATGCTATCTATGTATTGGTACATAGAGATCCCTAAGCTTTATACTGTATACTATTCAGACTGTATTTATTTACTGCTGAGTATTTACTTGAACTGTAAGCATGTCTATTTTTTTGTACAATTTAATTGTAGTAACTGTTGAGGTTTGGTTCGTCACTACCTGTCAGTCCATAGATTGGACTTGTTACTTACTGAGTTGGTGTACTCATGTTACCCCCTGCACCTTGTATGCAGATCCAGGTATCTCGAGCCACGGTAGCGGTTGCTGATCATTTCAGTCGTGGGCTTTCATTGGAGATAGTGAGGTAGCTGCCTGACAATCGCAGTCCCGCCTTTCTCCTTCCTTATCTTCCTCTTAGGGTATTTGTTGGATATTCTTAGACTATGTTAGTCTTGTTTTATTTCAAACAGTTGTAATATTTTTCTCATGACTTAGTGACACCCGAGGTCGTACTTGTATTTTTCCGCTTTGTTAAACTTGATTTTATATCTTTATCGGATTTCTGTAGAAAAAATGGTTTTACTTAAGTTTTAAATGAAAATGTGGATTTTTTTGGAAATGAGTTTTCTGGCCTAGTATTACGATAGGCGCCATCACGACCCGGTTGGCTTTGGGGTCGTGACAAAAACATATATCAAAAACCATCAGTGTTGATGGGGATTAGTGTCACGACCCAAAATCCAAGTAGTCATTATGGCACCTATCACCAATTAACAACTATCCAATTTAATGAGATTTATTAAGAGAAGAAATGATAATAAAATTGCTTTTATACAAAGAATTTCCCAACGACTAGTAGTACAAATTATGAGTTTCTAAGATTTAGAGTTTACAAAGCTAGTGTAAAATAAATACATCATCTGTCTGAGTTATATATTAACAGATTTTTCATAAGTATACAGATTTTAAAAATATATATACAGATTTTTCATAAGTATTGAGCAACCATGAACAAGAGATAGCTATATGTCACGACCCTTTACCCAGACCCGGTCGTGATGGCGCCTCTCGTGAAGACAATGCCAGCCGACACAACCCCCAATTCATATTAAACAATTAAAATAACAAAATTTAAGTCATTAACACGATTAAATCCCAAAAGAAAAAGTGAAACAGTACAATTTGCGGAACAAACATAGCCCGACATCGGGGTGTCACTAGTCATGAGCATTTAAACATGTGTCTAAGAGTCTGAAAGAGTTTATACAGTCTATTACAAAACTAGTAACAAAAAGTAAGATAGGAGGGAGAAACACTGGGCTGCGAACGCCGAGAAACTACCTAGTGGACTCCGAATAGCCTGCTGGGAACAATCAACCCTCACCGGTGAGAACTGAAGCTCCTGAATCTGCACACAGGGTGCAGGGAGTAAAGTGAGTACTCCCACTCAGTGAGTAATAATAATAAATGAAGACTGAGTGATAAGAAATCACATAAAACACAACATTATGCTATAAAGAGGCGGAGTAAAACCAATAAAAATGCAATAAATAGTGAAATCTTGTAAAAACATCTTGGTTCAGTATAAGCATATTTAAAACACCTTTTTAACAGTTAAACGAGTAAATGAGAAGCAGCTAGAAAAGACAAACACATAAGATCCGCCCCTCGGGCACAATGTCAATAGAATCAGCCCCTCAAGCAATAACATGGAACATCACCAGCCCCTCGGGCTATATCTCATATCACAATGGGTACCCGCTCTCACTGGGGATGTACAGACTCCGGAAGGGGCCCCTTACGGCCCAAGCGCAATATCAAGCCACCTCGTGGCATAATCAATTAGGCTTTTAGCCTCATATCAAGCCACCTTGTGGCGTACAACTCAGGCTCTCGGCCTCATAATCATAATCAGTACAACGCTGCTGCGGCATTTAGCCCGATCCCATAATAATCCTCACAACACAGGCCCTCGGCCCTACTCAGTCAGAAATCTCTACAAGCCATTCGGGCACAATAAAATATAATGCTCAGCCCAAAATATCATTTAAAGTATTAAAACAGAGTAAACATGGATGAGTTATGAAAATATATAATATAGCATGACTGAGTACAGATATAAAATCGAAACAGTGAGGAAATAGCAGTAAAAATCCCCTAAGGGTCCAAACCGTTGGCACGAGGCCTAAATATGGCATTCAGCCCAAAACAGGATTATAACAAATAGTTTTCAATCAAATACGCGATAAAATAGTTATTCGGAATGGACTAAGTCACAATCCCGACGGTGCACGGCCCTACGCTCGTCATCTAGCGTGTGCGTCACCTCAATACACTACTAGAAAATAGACCTATGGCAACAATATTTTAGCAATGGTTACTCAAACGTTGCAATAAAACACCTATGGAAACGGTTACAACCATCACATAATCTTCTCAGACCTACTAAGATAGGTAGTAAAACAAATCGTTGCATTAGGACAAAAACTATTGCTATAGATTGACGTATTGTGACAGTGTCTTAATCCGTTGCAACAAAGTCATCTTTGGCAACGGTTCTTGAAAAAAAAAAGGGCTACTGGGTCGGTTTTACTTTTCCTCCCTATTTTCCCTCTTTTAACTTTTTCGCGCCTTGTTTTCACAAAAGAGAGACAAAGCGTCTCAAGCAGGAACAAAAAGAAAAAGTAAAAGTCCTAATACAGATACAAAAAACAAAAAGCCTAAATTTGATACAAGCCCTAAAAGACCTGCCACCCACACTCAAGCTACCACCGCAAGAAGGCTTACGAGAAAATCCAAGAGATTTGTTCAGCCCTAAAAGACCTGCCATCCCTAGAGGTTCTGATCTCTATCCAACTCTTCTTTTCTTCAAAAGAGATTTGTTTTCTTAAATTTTTGCTCTCATTCATCAACAGAGAGTTTGTTGAGGCATCTCCAGGTTGAAGCTAACTTAAGTCTCATCTCCTTTATACTAGGTAAGATTAATGTTATATACTTGTTTATTAATTTATTTATTTGTCAAGTAAAAGATAAATTGGGAATAAATTATTGGGGTAGCTAATTCTACTAATTTATATGTTTCTTTACTCTTTGTGAAGGTAATCAGGTAAATTAAAGCAAAGACCTCGAATAGATTTTTTGTCGGCCTTCCTAAATATGTTTTTAATTTCAATCAGGATAATTCTCTCTAATTAGTTTACAAATCGCCATGGTCTGTGATTACGACTTTAGACTTTTGTTGATTAGTAGATTGTTGATTTCTTTGTTTTGTTTTTGTTTTGTTGTCGTTTCTTTGCCGATTAGTGTATCTTTAGGCTTCAGGCGTTAGTGTGTTGTTAATATTGTGGAGTCTTCATTCTTGAAGCAATTCTCATTAGATGTAATAACTTTAAAGTTAGGAAGATGAAACAATCGACCCTTGAGAACTTTGGTATGAATGCTTCTGCTTTCTATTATTCATCTCTTAGTTTCTTACTTTGAGTCAATAGAAAGTTAATATGACAAGCAAGCGCCTCGCGATCTTGGTTTTCATATCTGTTTAGAATGACAAATAAGTTACTACCTTCATCCAAAATATAGCCATTTTACATTCTTTAAACATAAACATGTGATGTCAAGAACACAAATGAATGAACATATTACAAGTATTCTCTATTTCACCTAGCCTAATATGTACACAAGTTCTTTCATATTTTCTTGCTTTATGATCTTATACACAAAGTTATAGGTTTGGGATTTCCTTTCCTTGAATCCTGCAGTTGAAAACATAAGCAGTACTTCTATTTTCAGGTCCAGGAAGCAAATTACTACTGGGATTGCTTGAGGAGCCAGCTGCAAGTGAAAATATTTGGTAAGTAAGTTTTGTGTTCTTGAAAATCTGTGTTAATAGGTGGTGTGGAAATATTTGGAAATATTTGAAAAGAAAGTGCAACATTTAGTACCACCATTCCTTCTTGTGTTGAGTAGTTGGAACCTAAGTCTGGATCAATCAATTCCAATATACTCCCGCACTCTTGCATAACATAAGCCTATTCCAAATAGATCAAAATTTTGAATAGTTAATGTACTGGGAAAATATAACTTGTTAAGCAAAATTTGAGAGTTTTGAGTCTGAATGTACAAGTTGATATAGGGAACAATAATGACATGCCATTACTAGATGTTCTGGTTTACATGAAAATGAAAATAGAAGGGGAAGTCCTTTTTAAGGATGATGGAAGCACAATAAGAGTTACCCAGTCAAGAAGATAAACAGTTAATACAGTTACTTGCTAATTTACAGAGAATTCTGACATTAAACAATCTCCTTATTTCTTAATATTTGAAGTAGCAATAAGATAGCTGGTGTTTTTTTTAAGTTCACTAATAGCTCTTTTGAAATCCAAAATGGGAATTACAATTTAAGTAAGTAGGATGCCATGGTGCTAATAATTAGTAAACCAAGGAGTTACATGGCAGGGAAAGAGAGGTGGAGTTATAACAATAAAGATTTATATTACTGCTCTATAAAGGCGATTTAATATCTAGAAAAAAAAAGCTATATTTCTCTAGGTAACTAATAAGTTCTTGGCTTGCTTTACTTTTTAGGAGATTATACCTGCCAGAATTGCTGTGTGATGAGAACAGTACCATGATTGTTTCAAAATACACGAGATAATGCATATAACTTTTCAGTATTATCACATATATGCTACTTTAGCACATTAGTTGGTCTCGCCATTAATATCATTGTCATAGTTTGCATTTCTTTCTTTTTTTTGCAGTAGAGAAAGCTTTAGATTAAATGATATAATTATGTATCTCCAGTAATTTCTGAAATTTGTTATTTAGATCTTAATTTTTATGATTTGCATTTGTGACCCATAGGAGATTTAATATTCAATGGATCATGGAGATAAAAGTTGGATGGGTCTCCGAAGATCCACAGATGAGTATAGTCGCTGAGTGAATGATTTTCTTGATAAGGCATTTGAACGGGCTTCTCAAGACAATGAAATATTATGTTCTTGCAAAAAATGTGCTAATTGTTATTGGCGCATTAGAAATGTGGTAGAGGATCACTTGGTTGGTTATGAATTTATTCAAGGATACACCAAATGGATTTCCACGGGGAAAAGATTTTCTCGAGAAATAATCCACATCCAAGTAATGGTGATGAAGGTTCCAACATGTATGATGATATTGATGGACTACTTCATGACACTTTTAGAAATATTGAGGGTGACATGAGGCATGAAGAAGGTGTGCGAGAGGGACCATCTGAAGATGCAAAGAAATTTTTTAAATTAGTGGAGGAAGGAAAACAAGAGTTATATCCGGAATGTGAGAATTTTTCAAACTAAGTTTCACCATTCGATTGTACTTAATCAAATGCATTCATGGCTTGAGTAATGTGGCTTTTTCAGACTTGTTAGACTTGTTAAAAGAGGCATTTCCATTTGCTAAGCTACCCGAGTCTTTTTACAAGGCAAAAAATATGATAAAAGATTTGGGTCTTCAATATGAAAACATACATGTGTGCCCTAAGGATTGCATGCTTTTTTGGAATGAAAATGAGAAGAATGATAATTGCTTTGTATATGGAACTTCTAGATGGAAGAATGTTGTTGATGGCGTGACTGCTGCAAGCTCATAGGTTTTAAGGTACTTTCCCTTAAAGCCTAGACTTCAGAGGATATTCATGTGCTCTGAACCAGCTGCAGCTATGAGATGGCATGCTACTGAATGACCCAATGATGAGATTTAAAACATCCTGTTGATGGGGAAGCGTGGAGGAATTTTGATTTCTTGCACAAGGATTTCTCTTGGGATCCTTGTAATGTTAGATTGGGTCTTTCAAGTGATGGTTTTAACCCGGTTTGAACCATGAGCATTTTTCATAGCACATTGCCCGCTATGCTAATGAACTATAATTTATCACTATATATTTGCATGAAGCCGAAGTATATAATGTTGTCAATGATCATTCCGGGTCCTTCTTCACCAGGAAATGATATAGATGTGTACTTACAACCACTAATTGCTGAATTGAAGGAACTATGGGAAACAAGGGTAGAAACATATGATGCTAAATTTGACCAAATATTTCAAATGCGTGCAGCCTTGTTGTGGACAGTTAGTGATTTTCCAGCACTAGCAATGCTTTCCGGATGGAGCACCAAGGGGAGACTGGCATGCCCGACTTGTAATTATGGCACATGCTCTCAGTATCTCAAACATAGTTGTAAGATGTGTTACTTGGGTCATCGGGCATTTTTGCCTCCTGATCATCTATTTCGAAGAGATAAGAAATCATTTGATGGTAAAGAGGATCATAGAACAGCACCTACTCCCTTGTCAGGTGTAGATGTGTCAGAAGAATTGCGTGAATTTAATCATGTCTTTGGAAAGGGTCAAAAGAAACAACGTCGGGGTAATGAGGGTCCATGGAAGAAAAAATCAATCTTTTTTGAAATGCCGTATTGGGCACATAACAAATTGAGACACAATCTTGATATAATGCACATCGAGAAGAACATATGTGATAGTTTGCTTGGTACTTTATTGGATATGCCTGGAAAGTCAAAAGATCATGTAAATTTCTCGCTATGACTTGGAAGAGATGGGGATACAAAAAGAGCTTCAACCATTAAAAGATAAGGATAATAAAAAAGTTTATTTGGCTAAAGCTTGTTTCTCCATGAAACAGAAGAGAAAAGTTGTTTTGCACTGTTTTAAAAAATGTGAAATTACCAAAAGGGTGTGGGTCAATTATATCACGACGTGGGTAAGTGGAGAAAAAGAAAGTATCAGGGTACAAGAGTCATGATGCTCATTTTATCATGCATTACTTGCTCTAGATTGCAGTTAGAAAAGTGTTGCCCAAGAATGTTTCTTTGGTCTTGATTAGGTTGGGGAACTTCTTTAGAGCCATATGTAGCAAAGTTATAAGGCGAAGAGATGTTGATAAAATGCAATCTGAAATCAATGAAATTGAATGTGACCTTGAAAAGATCTTTCCTCCAACTTTTTTTGACATAATGGAATATTTGCCTATCCATTTAGTAGATGAAATTAAGCTTGGGGGTCCGACTCATTTACGTTAGATGTATCCTAATGAGAGAAATCTGTGTAATTATAAGGCATTTGTTCGTAATTGATATCATTCAGAATCGTCAATAGCGGAGGAATTTTTGGCCGAAGAGTGCTTGACCTTTTGTTCGAGATACCTACATGATGAGGTAAAAACAAGATTTGGCAGGTATCAAACAGAAGATGATGAAGGGCTTGAAACAGAGGGAGATGATATGTCACCTATATTCCCTAAGATAGGCCATCCAATCAGATGTCAGAAGAAAAACAAAGGCAATGCATTTACCATGGGTTTACAATTATGTTTTGAAGCACATCGATATGTTCTGTTCAATACCGGATATGAACAAATGGAGATATTTATCCAGTAAGATAATTATCATTTTTATTATAAACATTATTAATTTATTTATATGATATGATAATTTATACTTTATTCATAAAGGCCTAATATATAAATCTAAAATATTCATGTTTACAGGGAACATAAGAGTTTAATTGATAATAATACAAGATCAAATGCATGGATTAGAGAACGAAATCATAGTTAGGAATTCGGCAACTGGTTCTAAGAGAAAGTTAAAACTTTTGAAGTGCCAAATCATTTACAATGGCTAGCCAAAGGGCCAAATATAGTTGCAAAAAGATATACTGGATATTTCATCAATGGATACCGATTTCATACGATGGAACGAGATAGCCGAGTCAAGACTCAAAATAATGGAGTGACTTTGTCAACAAAAACTGATAGTTTAGCTAGTCCTAGAGATTCAAATCCTATCGATGGAGAGGTTATCTATTATGGATCTATTCGGGATATTATTGAGATTGATTATTGGGGTTGTTTTAGTATTTTATTGTTTAGATGTGATTGGTTCCATAATGAAATAGATGAATATGACTTAACTCGGGTATGCTTCAACAGATTATGTAGTGTCGATGACCCCTTTGTATTGACATCTAAAGTGCATCAAGTTTTTTATGTGGAGGATCCAATAGAGAAAGATTTTTATTACCCAAGAAACAGAGTCCTTAATAACTTGTATGATTTGGAGGAAGAGTATTATGATAATAATACAGACACATTTTGGAGGGAGCTTGATGATGACATTGGTTCATTAGTTAGATTACCTGATGTTGATGTTATATAGTCGAGAGAAGATATTCATAGTGATGTCATTGATATGCCATCTCATGCAGAGCTTTTACAAGATACAAATATAGAAACATCGGAAGAAGAGGATGATATTGATGATACTAATTGGGATTGGATAGATGCTGATGATTGAAGAGTAATTTCTGAACTTTTTTTAAAATTACAAATATGAAAACTTCAGAAGAGTTCTCTTTTGCATTTTCTTCTATTCTTCTTTGTACCGTCACTTTGAAAGAAAATGGAAAAGAATGTTATTTGATATTGCTTCTTTGATTGTTCTATAATTTTATTTGAATGCAATTTTCTTTGCCTGTTGTGTAATTTTGGATCGTAAATCAAGTATTTTTCTTCACGTCAATCTTGATTTCAGGTCCTTAAATTTGTTGGTAGATAGGAACAATGTTTAGATTGTTTTCTTATATACTAATTTGGCTCTAGTTGTTTTATGTTTTATCATTTTGATAGAGTTTGATAGTCATGAGGCAAGACGAATGTCTGAAACAAAAGAAAAAAATAAAAAACTCGACATGTATTAATGTTGGAACACTTGCCTCTTTGGCATACCAAAAAAAATTATTGCTGACCAGAAAAACAAAGGTTCCAGCTAGCTGTATACGGTCAAGTGAAGAGGGTGAGCATCTTCAAAATTTAGTTGAAGACCATCAGATACTAACTGAAACAACCACCCCTGCAACAGAAATATTAGAGGAGGAAATGCAATTGAATTCAACTGTTGATGAACAAGAACAATGTGAACTACAAGGCAAGAATTTTCGTACAAATACCAACATTCTTTTTCAATTATAAACTTGAATTATATGTAATTTTATGATTATCTATGGTTGTATTATTGTAGGGTCTTCTGCTCAAAAAAGGAAAAGAGAAAAAATAAAAATGTTAAGTGTACATGGAAGGCATGACCGAAAATAGATCGTAGTAAATGAGAAAAATCAATCTGTTGGTCCCAGTAAAGATGTTGTGACAAAATTGGGCAGTTTCTTTGGCACATTGGCAAGGAATGCGAATCTTTGTCCTCTTGATATATATGATTGGAGGAAAATGGACACAAAAGACGATTTGTAGGAATATACCAAGGTTTGAAGTTTCTAATTCAATTTTTGTTTGAATATATTCAATACTTTTTTACTAACCCATTAAAACAATTTATAGGAGAAGTATGATATCCCTGACACTGCAAAAAAATGGGTTTTGGATGGAATTCAAGCTGATTGGAGAAGACACAAGAGTAATTTGAAAAAAAAGTACTTTGAAGCCTACGACAATGATGAAATTCGAATGCAAAATAGGCCTGAATATATTCCAACATCTCAATTTAAGGATCTCCTCAAATATTAGAACTCCCGAAAAAGTCCAGGTAAGTTTAACTACTTGTAGCGACTAAAACTTATAACTTACAAATACTGGTATATGCATTTAAATTTAAAAAAATAGGGCAATCATATTTTATATTTTGAGGGTAAAGTGAAACAAGAAACAAATGGTACAACTAAAAGAGTTTTTACACTATCAGTTCACCTAAAAGTTAACTACTAACCATCTGTTGTAACTATAAAACAACTCTTACACCAGAAAATCACTTCAAAGAACTACAAAAGCAACCGTTCAGTACAAGTGAAATTACTAATATGAAAAACTAATGCTAAAGGCTAAGGTGAGTACCTGCATAGATGTATTGGCCAAAGTTAACTACTGCATGGTGTCCAGAAGTTACCCAAATTATTGTTGTGATAATTCCAATAAAGTCATCTGGGGTTTTTAGTTCTGGCCACCACGGCTCATCTTTCTTGTCACCATGTCCAACATTTTTTTATCTCTGATCACCAAGCTTGGAGTTCTGTATCGGATTCTATAAGTTTGGTTTCTAAATCGTAATGGTTGACATAGTTTGTTACCCATTGTTTAAGGATGTCCCATAGTACTAAACCATCATTTGCAAAAGGGTAGTCTTCTATTGTTAGTTTCAAACCACATTGTGCATTTGAATCTTTTACAACCATTTCCCTTTTAAAGTTTGCACAAATAACATGTTATGTGGAAGTACAAAACAAAATATGTATATACTGTTAGAGTGATGTTTTTATACTGTCAGATCATTTAAAACATAATCGCATGTACTTCTTCATAATAAGTAGGACCAGTAACATGAAAATTAAGCAGGTAACTTGCTACGACAAGTTAAAATATAGTGAATTACCTGCTAATGAGGTCTTTTGGGAGTGCTTGTCAATCAAATCACCATTCAAGATCATAAGCAACAGAGCTTAACTCCATGGCGTATTTGTTAGGGAAAAATGAACTCTCAATAATGCCATTGGCATTAATAAGAGCTTCTCTAGCTAAGGCATTTATTTCCATAGTGTATCTGAAGTAAGGATGCAATAATCTGGATATTGGGTGCATTGCACTAAGTTGCCTATTTCTTGCTATGATTTTGAAACCAGTGTGATGGGTTGGTGAACAAACACACCAGTTTGAGGGTGAGGAGCCCAATACTTGTCGAAATAATTCTCAAGATCCAACACTGATGCGTGCACTGCCCTCCTTTATAGTATATTTGCATACTTGGACTTCTTTTGGTGTAACATTTTGAGGGTGACTTTTTTTTGGTGTAACATTTTGCATACTTGGACTTTTGGTTCTTTTTTGTAGCTTGATTTCTGAAGGGGCAATGCCAATTTTATTATTTGTTTTGTCTTCTAAGTACTTATATTATTTTATTGGTGTTAATATATAGTGCAATAATAATGATATTGAGAAGGCAATATTTTTTTTCCTACCATCTAACTATTTTTGTTCTTGTTGAATTTATAGGTGAACCAAATAATCAAGGGGGAGATGAAAGCAGTGAAGACCTTACCTAAAAGTATTGATTGAAGAATCTTCAGACAATCTAGGAATGTTTTTATTTTTGAACTATTTTGCAAACTTATGTATTCCAACTCTTGGATTATTAAACACTTATTTTTGAACATTTTCATTTGCTAAGCTACCCGAGTCTTTTTACAAGGCAAAAAATATGATAAAAGATTTGGGTCTTCATTATGAAAACATACATGCGTGCCCTATTGCATGTTTTTTTTGGAATGAAAATGAGAAGAATAATAATTGCTCTGTATGTGGAACGTCTAGATGGAAGAATGTTGTTGATGGCGTGACTGCTGCAAGCTTATAGGTTTTAAGGTACTTTCCCTTAAAGCCTAGACTTCAGAGGATATTCATGTGCTCTGAAACAGCTGCAACTATGAGATGGCATGATACTGAACGACCCAATGATGAGAATTTAAGACATCCTGTTGATGGAGAAGCGTGGAAGAATTTTGATTTCTTGCAAAAGGATTTTTCTCGGGATCCGCGTAATGTTATATTGGGTCTTTCAAATGATGGTTTTAACCCGGTTTGAACCATGAGCATTTTCCATAGCACATAGCCTGTTATGCTAATGAACTATAATTTATTACTATATATTTGCATGAAGCCGGAGTATATAATGCTGTCAATGATCATTCCAGGTCCTTCTTCACTAGGAAATGATATAGATGTGTACTTACAACCACTAGTTGCTGAATTGAAGTAACTATAGGAAACAAGGGTAGAAACATATGATGCTAAATTTGACCAAATATTTCAAATGCGTGCAGCCTTGTTGTGGACAATTAGTGATTTTCCAGCACTAGCAATGCTTTTCGGATGGAGCACCAAGGGGAGACTGGCATGCCCGAATTGTAATTATGGCACATGCTCTCAGTATCTCAAACATAGTTGTAAGATGTGTTACTGGGGTCATCGGGCATTTTTGCCTCCTGATCATCTATTTCGAAGAGATAAAAAATCATTTGATGGTAAAGAGGATCATAGAACAACACCTACTCCCTTGTCAGGTGTAAATGTGTCAGAAGAATTGCGTGAATTTAATCATGTCTTTGGAAAGGGTCAAAAGAAATGGCGTCGGGGTAATGAGGGTCCATGGAAGAAAAAATCAATCTTTTTTGAATTGCCGTATTGGGCACATAACAAATTGAGACACAATCTTGATGTAATGCACATCGAGAAGAACATATGTGATAGTTTGCTTGGTACTTTATTGGATATGCCTGGAAAGTCAAAAGATCATGTAAATTCTCGCTATAACTTGGAAGAGATGGGGATACAAAAGGAGCTTCAACCATTAAAAGATAAGGATAATAAAAAATTTATTTGGCTAAAGCTTGTTTCTCCATGAAACCAGAAGAGAAAAGTTGTTTGCACTGTTTTAAAAAATGTGAAATTACCAAAAGGGTGTGGTTCAATTATATCACGACGTGTGGAAGTGGAGGAAATGAAAGTATCAGGGTACAAGAGTCATGAAGCTCATTTTATCATGCATTACTTGCTCTAGATTGCAGTTAGAAAAGTGTTGCCCAATAATGTTTCTTTGGTCTTGATTAGATTGGGGAACTTCTTTAGAGCCATATGTAGCAAGGTTATAAGGCGAAGAGATCTTAATAAAATACAATCTGAAATCAATGAAATTGAATGTGACCTTGAAAAGATCTTTCCTCCAACTTTTTTTGACATAATGGAACCTTTGCCTATCCATTTAGTAGATGAAATTAAGCTTGGGGGTCCGACTCATTTACGTTGGATGTATCCTAATGAGAGAAATCTGTGTAAGTATAAGGAATTTGTTCGTAATTGATATCATCCAAAAGCGTCAATAGTGGAGGGATTTTTGGCCGAAGAGTGCTTGACCTTTTGTTCGAGATACCTACATAATGAGGTGAAAACAAGATTTGGCAGGTATCAAACAGAAGATGATGAAGGGCTTGAAACAGAGGGAGATGATATGTCACCTATATTCCCTAAGATAGGCCATCCAATCGGATGTCAGAAGAAAAAAACAAAGGCAATGCATTTACCATGGGTTTACAATTATGTTTTGAAGCACATCGATATGTTCTATTCAATACCGGAGATGAACAAATGGAGATGTTTATCCAGTAAAATAATTATCATTTTTATTATAAACTTTATTAATTTATTTATATGATATGATAATTTATACTTTATTCATAAAGGCCTAATATATAAATCTAAAATATTCATGTTTACAGTGAACATAAGAGTTTAATTGATAATAATACAAGATCAAATGCATGGATTAGAGCACAAAATCATATTCAGGAATTCGGAAACTGGTTCAAAGAGAAAGTTAATACTTTTGAAGTGTCAAATCATTTACAATGGCTAGCTAAAGAGCCTAATATAGTTGCAAAAAGAAATACTGGATATTTCATCAATGGATACTGATTTCATACGATGGAACGAGATAGCCGAGTCAAGACTCAAAATAATGGAGTGACTCTGTCAACAAAAACTGATAGTTTTGCTAGTGCTAGAGATTCAAATCCTATCGATGGAGAGGTTATCTATTATGGATCTATTTGGGATATTATTGAGATTGATTATTGGGGTTGTTTTAGTATTTTGTTGTTTAGATGTGATTGGTTCCATAATGAAATAGATGAATATGGCTTAACTCGGGTATGCTTCAACAGACTATGTAGTGTCGATGACCCCTTTGTATTGGCATCTTAAGTGCATCAAGTTTTTTATGTGGAGGATCCAATAGAGAAAGATTTTTATTACCCAAGAAACAGAGCCCCTGTTAACTTGTATGATTTGGAGGAAGAGTATTATGATAATAATACAGACACATTTTGGAGGGAGCTTGATGATGACATTGGTTCATTAGTTAGATTACCTGATGTTGATGTTATATAGTCGAGAGAAGATGTTCCTAGTGATATCATTGATATGCCATCTCATGTAGAGCTTTTACAAGATACAAATATAGAAACATCGGAAGAAGAGGATGATATTGATGATACTAATTGGGATTGGATAGATGCTGATGATTGAAGAGTAATTTCTGAACCTTTTTTGAAATTACAAATATGAAAACCTCAGAAGAGTTCTCTTTTGCATTTTCTTCTATTCTTCTTTGTACCGTCACTTTGAAAGAAAATGGAAAAGAATGTTATTTAATATTGCTTCTTTGATTGTTCTGTAATTTTATTTGGATGTAATTTTTATTTGCCTGTTGTGTAATTTTGGATCGTAAATCAAGTATTTTTCTTCATGTCAATCTTGATTTCAGGTCCTTAAATTTGTTGGTAGATCGGAACAATGTTTAGATTGTTTTCTTATATACTAATTTGGCTCTAATTGTTTTATGTTTTATCATTTTGATAGAGTTTGATAGTCATGAGGTAAGACGAATGTCTGAAACAAAAGAAAAAAATAAAAAAACTCAACATGTATTAATGTTGGAACACTTGCCTCTTTGGCATACCAAAAAAAGTTATTGTTGACCAGAAAAACAAAGGTTCCAGCTAGCTGTATACGGTAAGGTGAAGAGGGTGAGCATCTTCTAAATTTAGTTGAAGACCATCAGATACTAACTGAAACAACCACCCCTGCAGCAGAAATATTATAGGAGCAAATGCAATTGAATTCAACTGTTGATGAACAAGAACAATATGAACAACAAGGCAGGAATTTTCGTACAAATACCAGCATTCTTTTTCAATTATAAACTTGAATTATATGTAATTTTATGATTATCTATGGTTGTATTATTGTAGGGTCTTCTGCTCAAAAAAGGAAAAGAGGTAAAATAAAGATGTTAAGTGTACATGGAAGGCATGACCGAAAATTGATCATAGTAAATGAGCAAAATCAACCTGTTGGTCCCAGTAAAGATGTTGTGACAAAATTGGGCAGTTTTCTTGGCACATTGGCAAGGAATGCGAATCTTTGTCCTCTTGATATATATGATTGGAGGAAAATGGACACAAAAGATGATTTGTAGGCATATACCAAGGTTTGAAGTTTCTAATTCAATTTTTGTTTGAATATATTCAATACTTTTTTATTAACCCATTAAAACAATTTATAGGAGAAGTATGATATCCTTGACACTGTAAAAAATGGATTTTGGATGGAATTCAAGCTGCTTGGAGAAGACACAAGAGTAATTTGAAAAAAAAGTACTTTGAAGCCTACGACAATGATGAAATTAGAATGCAAAATAGGCCTGAATATATTCAAACATCTCAATTTAAGGATCTCCTCAAATATTGGAACTCCCGAAAAAGTCCAGGTAAGTTTAACTACTTGTAGCGACTAAACTTATAACTTACAAACACTGGTATATGCATTTAAATTTAAAAAAATAGGGCAATCATATTTTATATTTTGAGGGTAAAGTGAAACAAGAAACAAATGGTACAATTAAAAGAGTTTTTACACTATCAATTCACCTAAAAGTTAACTACTAACCATCCGTTGTAACTATAAAACAACTCTTACACCAGAAAATCACTTAAAAGAACTACAAAAGCAACCGTTCATTACAAGTGAAATTACTAATATGAAAAACTAATGCTAAAGGCTAAGGTGAGTACCTGCATAGATGTATTGGCCAAAGTTAACTGTTGCATGGTGTCCAGAAGTTACCCAAATTATTGTTGTGATAATTCCAATAAAGTCATCTGGGGTTTTTAGTTCTGGCCACCACGGCTCATCTTTCTTGTCACCATGTTCAATATTTTTTTATCTCTGACCATCAAACATGGAGTTCTGTATCGGATTCTATGAGTTTGGTTTCTAAATAGTAATGGTTGACATAGTTTGTTTCCCATTGTTTAAGGATGTCCCATAGTACTTAACCATCATTTGCAAAAGGGTAGTCTTCTATTGTTAGTTTCAAACCACATTGTGCATTTGAATCTTTCACAGCCATTTCCCTTTTAAAGTTTGCACAAATAACATGTTATGTGGAAGAACAAAACAAAATATGTATATACTGTTAGAGTGATGTTTTTATACTGTCAGATCATTTAAAACATAATCGCATGTACTTCTTCATAATAAGTAGGACTAGTAACATGAAAATTAAGCAGGTAACTTGCTACGACAAGTTAAAATATAGTGAAT